AACACCTATCAGAACAGAGCAAAGAGAGCCACTTAGCAATTCGCCCCCAGCACGGTAGTGGGTCCATGTACTTGGTGGGGGTGGCTGCTGTCAGGCTGGTTCTGACTCGTGGCAAATGAGGTACGTACCGGGTAAAACGGCTCCATGGAGTTTTTTAACATCATAATGTCAGAAGCAGGCCCCTGGCCCTATCTTTGGAGCCCCTCTGGGGGATTTGAACCGGCACCATTTCAGCTAGCAGCTGAGCACGTCCTTGTTTGTGCCACCCAGAGATTATCGGCCATTTCCAAAGGTCAGGGGGAAAAGTACAAAGATGAGAAAGGAGAGAAATAAGACTAGTCATGGGTGTTATTGCCTACATAGAAAACCCTAAGGTGTTTACAAAAATCTGTAAGAATTAGGCAGCAAGTTTAGCAAGGTTGTAGAATACAAGGGCAATTCAATGGTATGAGGGGTAGCCCCCAACAATCCAGAATCTTTTTCAAAGCTATGTACTTAACATTTTTTACAAAAATACTCTCCATGACACTTAATACATTTGTCAAATCTGCCATTCCATTCCCTCTCTCTCTTTGCAATTCCATTCTTAGAAACAGTTTTCCAACTCATCTGTTTGGATGGCTGCCGGGAGCTCCCTCTTTGTTCTTCATTCTTCTACGTTGTCAAATCGCTGTCCTTTCATGTCCGTCTTCATTCAAAGAAACCAGCAGAAGTCACATGGAGGAAGGTCAGATGAGTAAGGGGTGCGGGCCAAGAGAGGCATGCTGTTTTTTGCCAACAAGTGGCACACTGAGGTGGCTGTGTGAACAGGTGCGTTGCAGTGGTAGTAAAACCAGTCCCCCATCTGCCACAAATCAGGCCGTTTTTGACACACACCATGATGCAATCTTTTCATAGCCTCTAAATAGAAAACTTGATTAACAGTCTGACCTGGTGCTACAAACTCTAAATGTACTATCCCTCTCACATTAAAAAAAAAACACAAAAAACCTCTCTGGCCACAGCGCCCAGTGTGGCCCACACTCCCTGCTGCCTACACCCCTCCTCCCTCTGCTCCTCCCCAGGCTCTCGGAGCCAGGGCCCGATCCGCCTTAGCAGCCACAGCGCCCGGCACTATGGCTTCTAGAGTGATGTGAATGATGAAGTCATCAAAGTTTTTAATGATATGAAAGTAAGAAAATCGTCTACCCAAGAGGAAATCAAAAAAAGGAAGAACACCGTCCTCTTCTGTTTAAGCGATGACAAGAGACAGTCATTGTAGAGGAAGCAAAGCAGATCTTGGTGGGTGACTTTGGTGATGCTGTAGAAGACCCCGACGCCTCTTTTGTGGAGTTGCTACCTCTGAATGTTGCCGATATGCTTTGGACGATGCCACATACGAAAACAAAGAGTCTCAGAAAGAAGACCT